GGGGAATCTGAACGCAGCCCAGGACGCGGTAATGCTTGCCGCGCGGCGGAAGTCTGCGCGACAGCCAATCAATATGTTTTTCCGTAAGAGCTAGAAGGTTATTACGGAAAGCAGCATATTGATTGGCTGTTGCGAGGCAAGCGTTGCCGTGTCCTGTGTGCAAGAACCATTGGACCTTACTTAAGACGATCTTGAAATAAGATTCGACTATGGCTTGGTTTACATCGTGCACTTGATACGCGTATTAAATAGTAACTTTCTATTAGATAATCTTAATATCGACGATATATATAAACAACGATATATTAAGCTGGTATAATACTCATCAAGAAAATGTATTGTATCAATTGAATGCGTCATCGTTGATATACATTGTCAATATTAAGATTATTTAATAGAAAGTTACTATATAGTACGCGTATCAAGTGTACGATGTAAACCAAGCCTATGAATGTCGGTCTATGATTTCGATCTGAGTAAAGAAAAGTGGCGGCTCGTAGCGGAGACTTTTGAACTAATTTCCATCATCACTCACAGGAATAGCGGGTTTAAGAAGTTATTAGACCCACTATTTATGCGAATAAAGTTGGTATAGTTCAAAAGTCTCCGCTACGAGCCGTCACTTTACTCAACGACAAAACTTGTATTACGATTCCATAATAAATTAGACCTACTTTCTATTTTCAAATAGCACAACTTGACGATTAGACATACTTTTTCTTTTCTTTGACAGCACGATTGAACGAGTTATTAAAATAATAACTTTATATAACAAATGTGTATATTTCATATATATATTTTTTTTTTCAAATATGTAAGATGACATGGTTTTTAAGCAATATAACATTATAAAAAGCAATATAACAGTATAATTTTTGGATTGACTAGACCTAAGTTCTCATATGATTTACAAGCGATTAAATGTATATATAAATGCAAATACACTTTCCATATCATAACATAAATAGATTTTCCGCAATAGCCAAATTAATAAGAAAACTTTCTACAGCTGGTGCCAAGTTATTCTCCCTAAATATCTCCACGGAAATCATCTTTTTGCCATCTGGAGCTTGCACTGTCGCTAGCGAAGTTAATTGATTTAAGAGATCCTGTGTTTTGTCACTTATCTCTGATATAATCTGTATCTCTGTATAGTTTTGATTTTCACACAGCTGTACCATAAACAAGGCTATCTCCTTGTGAGTCTTTGTCATTGTAAGACTTTCTGGAATATATAAATTTGAGGATTGTTAGCGAATATAACATAATAATATCACTCTAATAAATATGCAAAAGTTGATTTTGTTACCTTTTGCATGTGAAGCCACAGTAATTTCTCTAGCTGGAATATTCACAAGCAAATCATACAAATCTGTTCTTGAGGATATCGAGCTATTATTACAGCCTGCCACATAGTATGAGTACCTCTATAACAATATATTTATACAAAAATAATAATAATCAATATTATAATTCAATCAATATTAAATCATACTTTACAATTAACTTATGATAATTGTCAAAAAATAACCTTTTATATGACACATGCCTTTAATTCAGTTAACTCATCGTTTACCAGGTCAATCCAAGGAAAAAGATTATCAGTGACTTTTCTATGCCTCATTAATGCAGGGAATGTTCTGATCCATTTGAAAAGTTGTTCCAAGCTATGATGGTACACAACAATTCTCTTCTTCAATAAGAGGGCAGTATATATCAAAATAGTTTCTAATTCAAACGTTTTGATTAATTCTCTGACATTGGTATTAGCAGCAAAGCGATGAGTATTAAAGTCATCGGAGACAAAAGTTCCATTCTCTTGTGTTGAGCACGATCCTTTAGTAAATACAGAAAGATAGAGTTGCAGAATTTCCGTTGGTTTTCCAGTCTTGCAATACATCTTGCTGAGAACTCGTGAAAGCACTTCATATTTTTGTGGATTAAAATCCTTTGCAAATAAAACCAATGCAAACTGTTTTACCTGAGGATAATTTTAAAAATTTAAATATTTAGTATTTTAAATTTAAGTATTTTAAATTTAAGAGTAAAAATTTAAATATTTAGTATTTTAAATTTGCAGTAAAATAATCTTTCAATGAAGGAATAGAAAATTTATTAATATTTACTTTTGGTAATTTATCAGAATCAAATACTTCACTGCAATGTATATAAAACCAATCATGACCATGCCTGGCACATACAAATACATGAGGAGAGTTGTGCTCTAATTTTAAATTACATTTCCTTGTAACTACTATTTTCTGAGATTCTGTCACTGCTGGATATGACCATGTCCATAAAACATCTCCGTTACAGTCTTTCTCTGTAAATGTTTATTCTATATTAAATACAATGCAAATATCCAAAATAGTTTGTATAAAAAATGCTAGAAAGGAAAAATATATTTAGATATTTCTATTGATTACTTCCATTTTAAATAAATTACCTATTATACTACAAGAAAGTAAATCTGTTAATGGTGCCATTTCGATTCTCTTTGACAGATAATTAACAACTATAACACATTGTTAGAAATAAATTATCTCTCATCCTTCACGTATCAACAATGAAACCTATTATTCACTTTAATATACTTTTCGCCGTGCTGAATATTCCACACATTTGTAGAAATGCAAATATTAATTTAAGAACATAATGGATATCGTCATACAGAACAGAAAGTATTTGAGGTTATGTGCAACCGATATACATACAGTGAGTGTAAAAAGTATTCATACACCAGAGATTGTTTGACAAAGGCTTGGTGCACGAATACTTTTTACACTCACTGTATGTACTTCCGACGGTAGCGACAATCTTTGTAAACTTGGCGCTTCATTGAAAGAAATTTTGAAATAAATTAAATTTTGAATAAAGATATAATCGTAATCAGTAAATTGTGAATGAAGATATAATCGTGTGTTGTGTGTTAGTATTTCGTTTATAATAATAGTTTTGAAAACATACAGGGTTAGGAAGTAACTCGTTACTTGTAACAAAGTTACAGTTACAGTTACATTTTTTCGATAACTGTAACTTAACTTAGTTATTTATTTTTAGTAACTTGTAACATTTTAACAGTTACTTTAATAGTTACTTGAGAAACGTAAAAATAAAATAAAAATTATATAGTAATCGTATATTAATTTAATAACCCAAATAGCACAGAGAATTCAAAAAGAATTAAAAAAGAATCCAGTCATATATCACCAATTCTGAGTTCATTTTATGCAAAAAGAATTCTTCAGAGTTTAGTTCAGTGAAAAGAATTCTTTTTGCATTTAAAAATAAACTCAGAATTGATGACATACGATTGAATTCTCTTTAAATTCTCTGTGTTATTCGGGAAATTTCCCTAACAGCACAGATGTCCAGGGGACATCCAGAGTATATTCTAAGGAAATCCTGAGGACATTTCTTCGTCCTCAGGACGTCCTCAGGACATCCTCAGGAGATTTTGTACTGTCTAGATTATCAACATATTTATGAAGCATGTAATTAAATTCTTTTACCTCTACAAGATTATCATTAAATTTTTATTATATTAAGTATAGATTTGTGAAATTTGTTAAGTGGATTGACTAATTAATGTTATAGATATTAATTATAAAATTCAATTCTTACAATTTAGTAAAGCTTAAAATGTAAGATTTTTGTATTTACAATAATAATTTACAATCATTTCAAGAAAGTAACTTAAAAGTAACGACTCGTTACTTTTTGAGTAATTGTAACTGTAACGAGTTACTTTTTATAGCCAGTAACTCGGGATACGTTCCGAGTTGCGCATGAAGCGCGTATTTCCTACAGTATACGTAACATAAACTATAGATAAATGCGCGCATATGCGTAACACGGAACGCAGCCTTGTAACTGTAACTAGTTACGTTTTGCGCAAAGGGAACTGTAACTGTAACTAGTTACTTTTAAAAAGTAACTTTCCTAACCCTGAAAACATATTACACAGAAATATACAGGGAACAATTGGAATAACATGTCAAAATTGTTAAGAGAAAGTGTTTTTTATTTCTTTCACTGTTCTATCACACTCAAGCAACATATCTTTTTAAAAGAATGTCTTTGAAATATCTTACAAATTTCTTAGCACAAGATTTCTTAAAGTTCTTTTTTATATTTTTCAAACATGTGTGTGTGCGTTTATATTTTTCAAACATGTGTGTGTGCGTTTATATTTTTCAAACATGTGTGTGTGCGTTTATATTTTTCAAATATGTGCGTAACTGCCTACATTACCACAATTTTGCGGTCACGTCATAAGAAATACGTTTATTAACTTATAAATTACGTTTGAGAAATTTTTGCTTTATATCTCATTATATAACGCCGCAAATATTTCTGAAACTACAGAATGATGACAAAAATTCTTCGAAAAGTAAATTATTCTTATATATTAATAATCGATACATAATTTTATGATTTACACATGTGCGCGCGTGTCTAATCTTAAATTAATCTTAAATAATACGTCTGCAAGACATACGTTGCATTATTTCGCTTATAGGAATGACATGGTCGTCCGCGTGACGATTTTACGACATTAATTGATGATTGATCTTTTGAACTCGTTTGGATGTCGCTTTCGCACGATCCAACAGTTTATGCAAATTATTATAGCGTAAAATAAACGCTACGTGATAGTTGAGATTAATTGATGCATAGCCAGATATCAGCGCAAAGGCCTTTGTCTTTCAAACTGTCCGATTGGGCCAATTCGAAGCATATAACACTAAATGCAAATCATTTTAAGAAATTTACAATTGCTAATTACTCCACGGATACACGACTATTTACAAAAATATATACAGATTCATCGTTTTATTACGAACACGTTATCGTTGGGTAATTCGTCGAGAGGCAACGTGTGGTTCTTTCGCACGTCGCCCCAATTTAATACTAAAGTATCCTCAATTGATTCGTTTTAGTTAATCATTTTCAATGAACAGATCGCCAGTTGGCTGTCGGGAGCCTTGCCAAAAGGCTTGCTGCTGTCGGGTGCCTCGTATTTATTCACTTGGTACACTAACATGGACTCGTAGCCGTACACGTCCGTACCGAGTTGCTGCGAAAGTTTATAAAGATTTATTTGAAGAACAATATTAGTTTCAAGATTAAATATATTTATATGAATGTATATGATTATATAATATTAAAATAAATATCCTAGTAATTGTCCCAATAATTGAAACATAAAAAAATATATTTCCCAGCAAACACAATGTTACATGTAACGTACATGTTAGTTGTAATTTCCTACTCAACAATGTAACTGTTACATAACACGCATGTTATATAACAGTTATATTGTTGAGTAGGAAATTACAACTAACATGTACGTTACATGTAACATTGTGTTTGCTAGGTTGTATCTAATATGTCTAAAAGGAGAGGCTTTTGAAGTTAGTTGAGTCATTGAGATATTTATCTTATATGGTAAATAAATGCGCGATAATAAAAAGAAAACTTGTAGTTATAAAGACTTGATCTTGGAGTAATCGCAATATTCTTTGATAGATATACAGTGCTTGCTTCAGCAAAATTGACCTACCTGTGTGAGCGGGCTGGTGTTTGTCGTGAAAATACCGGCGTACTTCTTTTGCTTGGCGAGTTCTAAGCAGTACTCTTCCATTTGCCTCATGATGAGCACGTTCTCCGCCGCGTTCAGCTCGCTGCTGGTCGTCATCATGAAATTGTGAATGATCTGGCCTTTGCCCTTCGGCAATTTATACTCTCTGATCGGTCCCTCCAAGTACTCGAGGAAGTCGAAAATAATCATCAACTTGGAGTTCAATACCAACTCGGGCTCGTCCCAGAGATCGAAGTTGAGAGTGACTCCGATCGTTTTGCCGGTCTGAGCTGACTTCATCGCAAAACTCAGACCTTTCTCAACGAGAGGCTGCCACATAGCGTCCATCAGGTTCCGGTAATCGGCCCTCGTTATGTCCGGCATCAACCACTGCTCCAAATCGGCTTTCGAGTAAAAGCTTTCCGTGATTATTCTGCAAATTCAAGCGCACGCTCACGTTCACGATCGTCTGATACAAGCGCACATCACGTACATGCGCGAACGGCTTTCGCCAGTTGCGAAATCTTTTTGCACAACGACTCACTTGATTACGTCCTCCTTGTGGCGGTCGTTCAACGGCTCGAAGATGTACGACTTTTGATCGATGGTCTCCTTCAGTGGCTCCTCCTCGCTGGATATGAGCTTCATATGGTCCAACACGTTGGTCAGACTCTTCGCCGTGATGAAGTCCGTGATGCTGATCTGATAACCTTGATCTCTCAGCTTGGTCACCGTGTAGATCGAATTCAAGGAGTTTCCGCCGAGCTCGTAGAAATTTGCGCGCGACGTCACCAACGCGCGACTATTACGTCCGATTACGGACGCAATGGTTGGAAAGAGAACATGAGCTTTCGCAAGGTCCTGGCTCGGCACGTCGCTGTAATCGCAGTTGGCAGCAACCTCGTTTTCTGCGGAGTACAAACTTTCACTAGCCTCGATTCGAAGAGAAATGATAAAATAAATAAATAGACTGCGTAAACGCTGTCAGAGAATGATGGGTGAAGAAATAGAAAGAAGCAAGAGTGAATAATCTGAGAAAACCGGGTCCTCCCCTCGATTCTGCATTCGCGACTTGACTTCACGGTGATCCGTTTGTTGGCGATTTTACACGACGTACCACTAGACAGAGCTTTGCGAGATAAAACAGTTATCTCGTATATGAGTCGGATATGTTAATGCGATCATTACTTGATTTCATGGATATACTCGCGACATTTGTACCGCTTGCCCGACAATTGTTCAAAATGACGTGATGGCTCACCATCATTAGGACAAGATGACTCGTATTGTTTCAGCAATGCCTGCCGATCTGTCTTCCCGTTGGTGAGAAGAGGTACGCTATCGATGATAACAATTTGCGGCAACATGTATGGCGGTAGAGTTCTTTGCAGAAGATTCTCGATATCCGAGCTGGAGAGGGTCGCGTCGTCTCCGATAGTAATGAAGGCCACTAGTGCCTGAAAATTCAAATAATGGATTTATCGTCAAAACTAGAAGACGGATTAAGTTAAAAGCACAAATGACTGAATACGACTCTGGGCGCTCTTATTGTTTTTTAAATACGAATATTTTAACTTTCAACATAAAATAAATATTTAATGTGAAAAGTTCAGAAAATATTCGCATTTAACTATCACAGACTTTTACCTTGATCTAAATTAATCTTTTCTTTGTATATATGTCGTCACACTGGAATTTATTCATTGCTAAATACATAAATTAATAATATTAAATACTATTTAATACTAAACAGTAAAAATATTAAAGAGATAATATTTCTCTGTAAATAAATATGTAAATAGAAATAAGTAAGAAAATAGTTCTTAGTATCGAGGATTATGGCGATTTGAATCATGTCGACGGAACGTATCGCGCGAATTGCTAGACGTCTATAGATCTCAGGAGAGAAATCGCGTTTACTATTTAACAAACCCATGAAGGTTATTTACCTGCGAAAGTTCGCCGGGTTTGTAACACAGAACTACAACTTTGTCGATGTCGGGTATCCTGGCGATCGCCCTCTCGACCTCGGTGAGGTCGACGCGGTGACCCCTAATCTTGATCTGCGAGTCCACTCGCCCTTCGTAAACTACGGAGCCTTTGACAATCTTGGCATAGTCGCCCGTATGGAATATCCTCGGGTAGTCTGTGAACATCGCGAAATAACGTTATCAGCACAAGCGTCCCGGCGAACTCGACGATATCGCAGGACGACCCGCGACCCCCAACTTCGCCCGATAAATCTTTCGGCAACTTCGAGCGCGATCGACGTCGTCGCGATATACGTGTCCTTGGCGACCGTGATTTCGCATAGTTAAAAGAAATTAAGAGACTTGATATTTGAGGCTTACGCGGTGTCCATGAATATTAGATTTCCGGGTTTAAGTCGCGTGAATTCTTCTTTGTCTGATTCTGACGATTCGCGAACAATTCGCTTCATTAGGGACGAACGATCCTATCAGAGAGGAACTGAAATGTTCGCGAAACGTCAAAAGAATTTATGCGGCTTAAATCCGGAAAGCAAATCTAATAATTAAGAGACTTTTCTCCAAGGAGTCTGTCCCGTTTGTCAGAGTATCACGGGGTTGTGAAGTCGCGATGATCATCGCGCTCTCGCCCGCAGGGGAAATCGAGACCGCGAATTGGAGCGTTCACGGGTCGCAGTAATAAATTCTCTGGTTTCTCGGCGGAAGACACGATGGCGACGACGGCGACGGTAGCATTCGACGCGCTGGATTGCTCGTTGCTTCGTTCTCTCTCACCTGGATCGATGGCGTGAGGATTGTCCAAAAATTTATGTGCGTCCCGTCCACGTATATAACCCGCGGCGAGGTTCCTTCCGGCCACGATCAGCTCGCCGACCTCTCCCTGAGGGACCAATCGCATATCCTTGTTCACGAGGTAAATTATGCAGTTGTCGACTGGTTTACCTGCGAGAGAAATACACCGAACGTTGACGAATTAAAAACGCAACACTGTTCGCCGATTTTTGAGTCAACGATTTTTTCCCGAGCGAAAAAACTTGTAGTTAAGAGAAAAAAAGAAATGAAAAACGATCTTTAACACATACATTCATAATATACTAAGCCATAAATCTCGTTATATCTCTCCAGATTCAGTGTAAAAAGCTATATACTTAATTTACTTAATTTAATTAAGCATTGGCGGCGGGCTTTGTATACTGAGATAAAAAATGGTTGATTTAACTAAAATATATTATAAAATTATATAGATTTTTTTTGTAGTAAAATGCCATATTTTTCTATTAAATGGTAGTAATAACATAAAAAGTTATTATTATATTATAGTAGAGTTTAATAAAAAATAGTTTTCTTGACCATTGTTTATATAATAATAACTTATACAATATAATAATTACTTCTCTATGTGATTATAGTTACAAATACCAAATATTTCTTTTATCAGTGTAACTGATTGGAATGCAGTTACTCTACAGACATAAGAATTCTCCGTCTATGAGGCTATTGAGCCGAAATGTATGTGTGTGTTGTCGATGTGTATACATACGAAATAGAATGATTTTTACCGATCGGCACTTTCTCCATCCCCTGTAATTGCGCGCGGTTGCTCAGCAAATGGTACGTGACGTCGCCCATGACTTCCGTGCTGCCGTAGAAATTAGCCAATGTCTTGACGTTATCGCCGAACGTGGCAAAAAACTGATCGGCCAACGTGACCGGCAAGGTCTCGCCGGAGCAGATCCAGAGTCCTAGGCGGTCGAGAACGTTGTCATTATCCTGCAACGCGCAGTAACAATGTAATAATGCGCCGATGGATTCAGCGCTCCGTCGCACAGGATAATTAATAATAAACCGGCCGGCCAACGAATATTTCCATTGCGCAAATCGCGCGCACTCGCCTTCGCGAGAGGCAAATCGCGTCTCGCGATCGCATTGCGCGCCGCGCTCTTCTACGTACTGCGTGTCTCACGTCAAGCGAGCATCGCCTGGGGGCTACGCGATAAATAAACCGTTACCACAAAAACTTCCTCCGCGTCAAGCTAACAATAATTAGCTGACAAAGTATCAGCAAATCGCCGTCGATTATCTGCACGCTCTCGCTAATCACAGTTTCGCTCAATCCGATACACTCGATGTGAGTCGAGCACGCGAATCGCGTGATTTATGTGAGCGTCCTTTGCCGCTTATTTATGAGAAACTTTCTCAGTCGCAAGGTTGTCACGTCAATTCGACAGAGAGAGAGAGAGAGAGAGAGAGAGAGAGAGAGAGAGAGAGAGAGAGAGAGA